TTATGCAAGATAAAGCTATCAATCTAAAACTTTCATGATACTCATTTGATACAGCAATAGACCAACTTGAAAAAGAAGCTGACTCCATCAACCAACTTTGTTCTTCATGCTCATCGGTAAAGTAAAGTTTAAGTTTTAATGGTTCAGATGTTTCAGAAAGATCTTTATTTCCCGCTCCATCGGTATTGACGTTATACATTCGTACTGTGACATTTTCATAATGTTCGTCAATTGCTAAAAACCAATTTCAATTTAAATTTAATTAAAATGAAAATTTTATAACCTATTATTGTAAAACTATATTAATTAAAACAATATGAACTAGAAAACTTACAATCAAATATAACAAGAAATGATTCGTCCTGACTAATTGCTGCACTTTTTGTAAATATTGCTGATTCTCTTATATGATCTTTTTTATCAATTACAGGTTGACCCTTATCATTTTCAATTGATATTTCAACACGATCGCTTTCCATGTCTTCTATAATTTACATATAATTTAACGAATTTTCAATTCTTAATTATCAATCATCAATTACTATTAAAAAGATATAGAAATAAAAATTAAATGATTTTTTATTTACACTTTTTCAATGTTTTACGTTGGCTTTGCTGGCTAAATCTACGAAAATTGCTCGTATTCTTTATTATTTATATTTTTTTTTTGTGCTGTTTAAATATTTACGTCCATATAAAAAAATGTTTGTAAAGTTATTGCAGTCTCGGATATTACCAAATTTGGATGTTGCAGATCACCCCCTTTTTTGTACGATTAGAAAATTCTCGAGACTTCCATTTAAGTCTATGAAAATCCTTGAGGCTAAATTTACACCAATCACCGTTTGTTTTCCTATTTGATAAACAACTACCTTTTAAAGCCGTTGGGATCATGGCGGATTCTTCTTAGATTACATAGTCATAGGACAATTTATATTAAAATTAATTCGAGGGTTTATTATTAAACGATTTTTTTTTTAAAAAAAAAACAAAAATACTATATAAATCGGTTCTAGAATAGTCTTTTACTAATAGTAGATCAATTTCCATATTTGGTAATATCCGAGACTGTATTGTAGGCATTGTCCAAAAAATGTTCAGAACGGAGCCGATTTTCCGAGTGCCAATTCGATATTGTACAATTTTTTTTATATCGTGATGTAAAAATAGAAATTTTGGATAAACATTGTACAAAATCGGAAAGTCGGTTCTATTCCGAATATTTTTTGAATAAAAACAGGAAAATTTTTAAACATTGCCGACAAAAGTTTTTTTTTACACGGCGTTGGCTTTGTTGTGTAAAATTTTTATACAAAGTTATGTAGAAATTTTACAAACCCAATGTGATTTACAAAATAAATTAGATTTAAAAAAAAAAATTGTACAAGAAAAAAAATTATGAATTTAAATTAGATGTTTGGTGATTTCCATAGTCACTTTTGAGGGTAAAGTAAATTAAATTATTTTATGTAGATATAAATATTGAAAATTATTTCGTCTCATCACCACTGATGATAACACCAGTAATATGTAAATAATCGAAATCTAATCGAAATCGAACTCAAAATCGGTTTTTTTTTATAACAAAGATTAATTTTTTTTACAGGTTTCGCATACCAATTTCGTACACCCCTATCAATAACGTACCCACCCCAAGTAATAAATATCAAATAATAAATATTTAAAAGTAGGTCCGTTCTTGATAGGGTTGTACGAAATTGGTATGCGAAACCTGTAATATGGTAAGATTAAAAACTAGACTAAATTTATATCTAAAATTTCATGGAAATTTGTTTTTATTAGAGCCTCCAAGTAGTTTTATTAATGAAGTTTATTAGAGCCTCCAAGTAGTTTTATTAATGAAGTTTTATATTGTATACTAGTGATAATCATCAGTAGCAATAAATAGTAAACCTCATAAATATTAAATAAAAGCAAAGCATTAAATCTCGTAAGTAGTGTTCAACATCTAATATATGTTTTAACAGTTTTGCTAGTAAAATTTAGGGTTAGGGAGCCTAAACTATAGTAAAGATATTGGTCTAAATTTTAGTTAAGGTGAGGTTTTTTGGGGCGCTGAACACTTTTGCTTAGTACCCCGATATGTGTTA